ACTGTTTATAAATGTTTACAACCATTTACTGTGTGTTCACAAAAAAAGTTTACACGTAAACTAAACAGTTGGAGCCTTAAACTTCAGGATCTTGGATGCATTCAGATCACGCTGTTCAAGGTTACGGTACACAGTTCATCATCTTCAGCACTGCACTAGCCCAGGTGCTATATTATCCCGTGTCTGTCTTAAACCAGGCGGTTAACAAAGTGGCACAGTACGAGCCGCCCATCGCTCAGCATTCAATCCTCAAATTATGATACACACTAACGAACACCGCATTTTTTGTCTACAGAGAAATTAAGCAAACTATGCGTTTGCGCGCTTCAAGACCGCGTTGTACAATTTTTGTCGGTGCTGCTGTTGCCTTGGGTGATGTGGCAGACCCACGATGCTCAAACGCCAGCCGCTGCCTTCAGAGCCGCAAAGTTAGGGGTGCCCAGCCCAGTGACAGGGTCCCAGCCCTTGCCGGCCGGGAAGCCATTTGTGTTGCACTCAGCGTTGTCGCCGCTTGTGATGTCGTTGAACGCATCGGGGTTCGCGTACAGGAACGGGTTGAGGAAGCCGAGCGGGCTCTTGCCGGCGGCGATGAGCGCGTCGTTGACATCAGTAAAATGACAGGCCGTCTTTTGGGTCTTTTAAAAGACTCAAAAAGACTGAAAAGATGAGAAAAGATGAAAAAGTCCGAAAGATGTGTCCGTCTTTTAAATGCCATGTCACTTGGCATAGAAAAGACGCCAGGTCTTTTAGAAGTGCGCAAAAGACACTTAAAAGACATCTCAAAAGATGAAGAGAAAGTGCACTATTCACACTCGCACACTGATATTGAACACAGACGTAATATTATATTGAAAACTAGTAGGTACACTATGCGGCAGCTACATGCCATCTGTTCAGCGAGGCTGCACCTAGGTCCTCATTCTCTATTCGGATGCCCTGCCTGTACCACATTCTCGCCTACCTTGGCTACATCATTCAATAAACTGTAAGCTTTGTTAGCGATATTCAAGATGGGACCATGGGAAATCCTGTGCGCACTTACAATCCTGCCGATGCATGTATGCTCGCATCCGTGCTTTAGCATGCCAGCACCCCGGGCTGTTAGCAATCAACGTGAGGCCAATTTTCAGAACCACAGTGGACGACGGTGACAGACTATCCACCGGCAGTGTATCAGGCCCTGCACTCGCTCCCTAGCCTGTTTATGACCCTACATTATTAGCACAGATTTGTGGGGGGAAAGGAGGCCCACCGTATCAACAACGTTGCTTGTGCTCAATCCCATTTATGAGCTTCAGACTCCCTGTGAGGACGCAGACCGGCACGGAGATGAAAAACCCGTAAGTGAGCCTGTGGTGAACGACATCTGACGCTGTGCTTGACTTCACCGATGGTGTACATGCAGGGCCAATCTGGATCTTCTGTTATACGCTCTTAACCATGTGTGCATTTTCCGCGCTTGCTAAGTTGAGATCCTGGGGTGACCAGCGAAACCTTAGAGGACAACGCTAGGATTCCAGCAGGGCGCGTTGACACGTCAGCGATTCAACTACTGACAGCAAACTGCATACCCATGCACTCACATTCTGCCTCTACTATGTTCTCTTGAATTTGCCTAGGGGGACAGGGTCACAGTGGTTATATCTGGTCTTCGAACGGGGGCGTCCGTCGGTCAGTTGCTAAAGGTTAGCAGAGCTCAGAGAAATTTCGGGCTTGGAACTTGCTTACTTGCTTACTAACACGCGTTGCACCAATATGGGAGCTGTGAGAGATGAGATGAGGCATGGGGACCGGACGTGGCTGAGGGGGCAGGAAGAAGGGTGGTGGTGGCAAGAGAGTAAAAGACTTCGCAGTTTGCGCCTGTCGATAGCGCCGGAAGGGCGTCTAAAAGAGCATTGGCGGCAGCCCATCGTCGTGGCGCTGTTCGTGCTGCCCTACAGCGGTTAGGATGGAATTAGGGCATGGTTGGTGTTTTATGAGCGAAATTGGGAAGTATTCACGTGATTACAACAACATTTTTCTCCAAGTCACCCAGGCAGCCAAAAATGCCAGAAAAGACGGCAAAAAAGACCTCGCGCAAAAGACAAAGTATGGTCGGAAAGACGGAAGTAGCGAAAAGTCCAAAAAGATAACCTGTAGTTTTACTGATGGATAAGCGCGATCGTGCTCGCGAAGATGGGGCTTGCACAGCTCGTGCCGTCCACCGTCTCGGCCTGGCCGTTCACGACGATCTCGACGTTCACCCCGATCGCTGCGACATCCGGGAACGCACGTCCCGAGGCGTTGAACAGGCCGCTGTTCGTCGAGCTAATGGAGGAGAGGTAGGACGAGACAGCAGCGGTCTGATATGACGGCGTGCCGAAGTAGTTGGAGAAGCCGCCGGAGGAGAACGATGCTGCGGTCTCTCCGCCTGACGATGAGGTGAGCTGGGTGGCACCGACGGAGGTCATG